AACTGCGTTTTCTACATTGGTTTCGATAGGTTTTTGCAGAATTCTGAACTTAGAGCTTATAGAACCAAACGAACATTCTACCACCATTCTTGCTCGAGATAGTTATAATTATCTTTAGCATCGCCTTTAGTTGTTGTTTTTTCAGGAAATGGTCTCATTAAATATTTCTTTAGAGGAAATGCTGCATCCCCTATGAGAACATAAGGAGTTTTGATACTGGAGCCCGGCAACAATTCTTCTTTAGGTAATTTTAGTCTTCCCGTTTCTATAGCATGCCTAAAGGGACATTCATCAAAAACGCCTGCGTCATTTTCTTTACCATAGGAGCCATAACAAACTTATAATTTGCATCAGTTACAGCTAATAACCCGATTGAAAAGAAAGATTTATAGCAATAATACATGGAACCAGAGTTGCTTGGTTTTTTTATACGTATGTGTTTTCCGTCGATACTTCCTAAACAGTTGGGGAATTGCCATCTGTCCCAGAAACCTTGCGCTATTTTTTTAAAATCATCTTCTGTTGGTTCAGGCATGTGTTTCGATAGTAATGTTGTCCATATAGCTTTACATACTTCTGAAATGATTTTGGAAATCGCCGATTTTGAAATTCTGAATGAGAAAGCGAGTTGCCGGAACTGTATGCCCGTGGCTAAGTATCTGCAGAAACGATAATAAGTATATTATGTTTTCAAAGTAACTTAAATTTCATCGATTTTATTGATTTAATAAATAAATAATATTATATTAATGGTAGGTTAGGTAAAATTTTGTGAAAATATTAGCATTTTCTAACACCATAAAATTTTCAAAATATTTTGAATTGTTTTGAGCTGTTTAAGGACATTTTCAGTTTCCAATTTTTTTATTTTTTTATTTTTATGAATGTCAATAAAATTTTATAAAATTGCTTAAAATTTTTGAAAATTTAATAGAAGGCTCCTAATATATTGTTTAAAAGGCAGATGAAAAATATTTAAAATCCGTAGTCACAATTTAAAGTTCAAATTTTGAAAAATACGTAAAAATTACGAAATATTTTAAAAATTATTTACTGAGTTTTTATTTTGATTTTAAATAAACCATACATTTTGAGAATATTTTGATTCGTTTTTAGCTTTTTACGGAGAAATTCAAATTTCGATTTTTTTAGATTTTTTTCTATAAACATCAATAAAATGCTATTTGTTCAGTAAAAAAGCTTGAAAATTCATACAAGGCTCCTGTTACAATAACAGTTGAAAAATATTAAAAATACATAGGCACGATTTTATAACCAAAAATTAAAAATTGAAAACAATAATTATCATAAATTGTTCATACTGTAACCAAAATATCTAAAAAAAATATTTACAAACATTTTAAATTTAAATTTGGACGAAATTACACATCATTAAAACCAAGGTTAACGATTTTAGTTATTTTGTTGTAAAATAAAAATATTATTTGTTGGTATATGAAACTCTTAGAGTATATTGTTATATTTTACATACACGTGTACCTAATGACATTTTCAAATGAAACTTTTTTCGGGAAAAATGAATTTAACTAACTGTACCAACTGTAGTAAATACTAATGCCTAATATTAAAATTAATTACTTTATTCACAATAATATCATCAAATACACTTAGTAAGATATTATAAACTGACTGACCATCTTTGCTCAGAATCGTTTTTCGTTCACAACGATATTATACCATTGAATTCAAATTTAATGCCATTCATTAACCCTTTTTTATTATAACTAACAAATGTTTTATAAAAAAAAGTTATCTAGGCTCCACACGGTATAGGGAATCTTGTGTTGAAATTTCAAATCTTAGTCATAAAAAGAAATATTTCGCAATAAATTACGATTTGAAGCCCTGATTAAAAAAATACATTCAACCATTTCGACTCTTATTGTTATTTGTTATCACCTGGAGTATCAATACTTTTTTATTTCAGCTGATGGGGCCAAAAAAAAATGGAAAAATTTAAGGGATACTTATGCAAAAGAATTAAAAAAAATTCCCAAGCCTCGTTCTGGTGCTGACGCTGACAATGAACCGGAGTACACAGGAACTTGGCCATATTTTGAGTCCATGTCATTTTTAAAAGTTATTTTAAAACCACGAAAACAAGATGGAAATATTATTGAACCAGAGGAATCAGCAGAAAGCTATTTAATGGATTCTTCTGAGTCTACATGTGCTAGTCTAGTAGACAAATTTGACACAAACACGACACAAGATAATTTTGATAGCTTTTCTCAGGATGACCCTCAACTCCAGGAATCTGAACTTGAACGGTCTGAGTCGGTCATGACAACAGAATATGAAACTGAAGCAAGACGTAATTATAACATCTCTTCAGCCTCGTCCTCTACAAAAACTACGACAACATAAAAAAGAAAACGTAAAGATGATGGATTAGAAGCATTTATTCAATTAGAGAAAGAGAAGATTCAAGTTTTGAGGCAGGATCAACAAGACAACAATGACGATGACTTACTTTGGTTCAAATCGATGTTACCATACATGAAAAAGTTGCCTTCATTAAATAAGTTGCGTTTCAGAACACAGATGCAGGAGCTGCTAATTAAGGAGTTGTCAAATTTAAATAAACAACAAGTACCAGAATTTGATTCACAAAATTCATTTTTTCCTAAAGATTATGAAACCTTATAATCTTAAACTTCAAGAAGAAGTAATTATAAAATTTGAATTTGAAATAAAAATTATAATTTAATAATATGTTTGGTTTAAATTTGTTACTTTTGGCAATCACAATTTGCAGTAAAACTTACTTTTATAAAATGTCTACATAAAAATAAATGTATTTTAGATTTTCATTGCATTATAAATTTACCTTATAATTAATTACAGTAGAACCACGATAACAGGAACATCTATAATTCGAATTATCCTTAATTCGAAATTCGAAGGAATATTTTGGCCCCGACTTTTCAACTTTTACATAAACTTTTTTCTATAACTCGTATTTTTTCTTGCCTCAGATCTATTCAAGTTATCGAGGTTTTACTGTATATTATAAATATATTACAAATATAAATTGTCTTTTACCTTAAAGTAACCATTAATCGTTCTTCAACTGAAATAGGTTGCTGGAAATTAGTAGGTTTTAATTTCAGAGCAAGTTTTATAGCGTCAACGATATAATCAAAAGTTGTGGGTAACATCCGAGCATATCCCTTAAAAACCAAAGGCTGACTTTTCAGTTCTTCATATAAATGGTGAAATTCTCCATGAGTATGTCTTTCTAGATAAATAATGTTGGTTTCATTTCTTTGTCGTTGGTGGAATTTCTTCATGAGTTTGTACTTAAGGTACGAATTTTCCATTAAAAACCCTTTTCGTACGTCCATGATCAATGTACTATTGATACTGAGTACTGAGTAGGTAGCGATAGTGATAATTATTATGTAATTACTTTCTTGGTATGTTGGTTAATGGTTAAACAAGGTAAGGTTATTAAAACTTGATTTACAATGACAAAACTGTGTTTTTAGTTTGTACGCGAGTGCCGACTTTCGACCAACTGATCGGGTCGCCGCGGAAGATCGGTGGTGCACGTAGGACAATGTTACCGCATCGCGTCGCGCCACGTTGGATCGCTCGAATTTTCGCGCGAAATACGCCGCACCGCGTTCGCGTTGAGTTCGCTCACGTATAAGCAAATTATTCACACTGTAGTACAGCAGACGCTGAATAGGCATTTTATATTTCTATAGCGTATTCGTTATATGTACTAGCCTGTAGGACGATTAGTCGTTGTTTTATATTACGCATCGGAGCACTATAGTTATTCATATCAATTATACATATTATTATATTATTACATATCATATCCGATCTTACATTTATTTACCTTTAGCTTCTGTATATCTGTGTACTTCAACAGGAAACATATTAGAGTCGTTTGTCCTGACAATTCTGGATCCTTGTACTTTAACTATAAATCGTTTTTTTCAATTGTTCTACTGGCTGTAGTTGACGCGAACAATAAGTTCATAGTAGTAGACATAGGTTCATATGGGAAAGAGGGTGATGCTGGAATTTTCCCGAAATCCAATTTGGGAAAATTGATTTCTACTGGACAATTTAAATTTCCTGAACCAAGGTGTTTGCCAAACACAGTAATAGTTTTGCCACATGTATTTGTTGGCGATGAAGCATTTAAATTGACAAATACAAAGATGAGACCCTATCCTCGAGATCAGTCGAAAGCAGATGTTACAAAAGCCATTTTTAATTATCGGCTAAGTCGAGCTAGACGGACGACAGAAAATACGTTCGGAATTATGTGCCAATACTTTCGTGTGTTTTTTACACCAATAAACATTATTCCTGAAATGGTCGATAATTTAATAATGACAGGCTGTATTGTTTATGATTTATTGAGAGATGAAAGTATTGAGTGTTCTACAGATTCAACTGAAAAAGAACCGATGTACCAGAAAGAAAATGGAAGTAATAATATGATATCGTTCAATCCGATAGGAGGAAATGCAAAGCACGAAGCATTTCGAATTCGTGATTCGTTCAAAGACTATTTTAATAGCCGGGCAGGATCAGTGAGTTGGCAACAAAAACATGTCACCCGGACTAGTTAATATGATTTATCATTACCTAATGAAGAAAAGAAGTTTACAGTCAAAATACTATAGATACTATACTATCGAAAAACATTTATAATTTTATAATTTAGATTATTATTTTATCAAGTATTTCATTTTTAAAAATAGACATTATACAAATTAACATAACATAACATAATCTAATAATAATCTTTTAAATATTTAATAATAACACATATACCTAATCGTTGATAAGTGAAAATTACAACAACGCGTTTTTTTAAAAACATCCACAATATTAGTACGTAGGTATATTACTAACTATGACACTATGTATATTGTATGTATTAATATATTATGATAAAATACAATATTAAGTAAATAGAATATTTAATTAAAAGTAGGTTGTTTAACATAGTGCAATGTACATAATAAATTAGTAATATACATAATGTACAATGAACATAATAATATACATATTAAGAAATATCACAAGTGTTATGATTGAAATTTTAAAATAAAAATTATTGTGTATTACCGTTTTTTCCGATGGCAATTGAAATTTCCTTCCACGCGTTTTCTTTAATATTATTGTCCTTATAATTTTTTTTCACTCAATTTATATAAAACGGGGTAGTCCCGAACCATTTCAACAAGTTTTTCATCGTTCTCAGCACTAAATACTTTGGATTCCATTTTTTATTTGTTGTTGAAATTTAAAATTATAATATTTAAATTGTTAAATATAATAGATGCCGACGTCCGTATCGCGCAGATGTTGGTCTTATGGCAACCGCGACGTGATTGACGCGCGTGATAGAAAGATGCCGCGCGTGAATATTCACGCGCGCGAATTATTTATAAACACAAACATTGGTTTCTGGTACTTCAACTTATGCGTGATCACGCATCGCGCACCACGCAATCACGGATGCGTGATTGTAGGAAACCAAGGCTTAAAGCGCTCGCGTTGGACCGCCCGATAAGCGGCCTATCCGGCGTACCCGTTAAAGTTCACGGTCGTGTCGAATGTACGGTACAACCGCGGTTCGCCACCGAGCCTGTATTATCAGTACACGCATGGGTTCTGCTCACGATAACAGGCGATCTACCCGGCAAGTCGTTACCCGCAGATATCAAACACCGGTTTTCTAATTTGGCATTAGCCGACCCGTCTTTCTACGTTGCGTCGCCGATTGATATATTATTGGGTTGTGACGTCTATGCATGCATGATAAAATAAACAGGTATGTCAGCAACTTTGTGGTGCGCACAATATGGCGGCAGGCTTGCGCGTATTATCAATTATACGTAATCACTTATCGTCATATCTCCCATAAGCCATGATAAATTTATATATATAGACATATAAAGATATTATTTTTCATTTTATAATATTAATATTATTGCTAATCGCTATTAGTTAATTGTCTAATAAATATTACATAGGGTTTAATATTATATCGATTTTATTTTAGCTCTTTAACCATTCAATAATATATTTAATATAACGTATGCAAAAATTAGTTATCTATGAAGTGGGGTATGTAAAATCTAATTACAATAATTACAATATTACTTAAGTTTGTTTCATTAAGTTATGAACTTTTGTATTTTATTTTTGTTATTTTGCTTTACAGTATTATAATTATGTAACAAAGCATTATTAAGTTTATTCATTCGAATAAAAGTTCTTGTGCGGACCAAACATTGTATCACTTCCAATGGTAAATTTGTAATTTTGTCTTTCAGTTTGTTTGAT